TGGCCCCAAACTGGAATAAATAGGCTATAGAGGCAATTTTTGTTTTCATTAGATTCTGTTGTCTATGTAAAATGGACTCATTTCTCTAGGACCAAGCAGGGTAGAAGCCAGTTCCACATACATCTATGTCAAAGTAAAAAATATCTATTGTTTTTCTCACCTTTTCCAAATATACAACACATATATACACACAAATCCACACTTGCTCATACACACTTGCACATGCACATTTACATAAGTATGCCAGTGTATACACAGAACTGTATATTCATACCTTATGGACACACACAAGCAGACATCATATATACTTATGGTGCTATCCTACCTCCTAGATAGACCTTTAGGGTCCTTGAAAGAAGATCTAATAGATAATCCCTTCCCTTGCTCCAGGAATTTAGTGCTATGGAGAGCTACAATTTGGATTGCCGCTTTTCTTTTTCTCTGTTGTGGTTATCAAACCTACCATAGCATGTCATGCCAATCTGTTCCAATGTAGTAGCACAACTTGAAACTTCTCACACATTGTATTGCAAAATAATGAGGTTAAATGGATAGACACAGGGCAAGCAATTTTTTTAAGAGAATAACAACAGTTAATACACTGTGTATTGTTACCTTCAAAGTACTTCCTCAGAGTACAAGACATAAACCAAAAGGATTCTTACAAAAAAGAAACATGTAACACAAAACTTTCTTTTCAGTGATCTAAGACAAACTAGTAATATAAATGAAACCAAGGGCAAGCAATTTTTAAAGTTACTCTTTTCTAATTTGCCTTTTGGATTTCATTTTCTTCAATTTTCTCCCTCTTTCATGTACCTCTTGTGTTTCATACCCTCTCATTTTCACTGAGTATCATTTAACAAACTAGCATCTGGCCTATCTGAAAGAAAGTTCTCCATAATGCTGAAGGAATTTTGGCACAGTAATGTCCCAGGGTTGTTAGTATTGTTTTAGGAAATCTCTTTCAAAGTCCTTGTAGTCAGCCACAGTTACCTCTAGATCCCATCAAAAGCAAGAATCTTAAGACATTCAAGGAAGTAATGCTTAGGTAAAATTAGTCATATTAATTTTCCTTTTATAGTAATCATTTTTTATAAAACATAGCAATAATGTTGTGTTATAACTAGTCCTGATGGCATCTGAGAGAGTCAGGTAAGGAATCAGAATATTTTATAGTCATTTAATTAGTGATAAAGCTAAGGCTTTTACATGCTATGAGATTTAGTGAAAAGTCATTCAGAAAACTCAGTAGCCAAGATAGCCTCTCCTATGACATGACTGTTTATATCTTGATCGTTTTCAATTAAGTACTATTTGATATATTTATTTCTTCAGGTATTCTGTACAAGAATCCTTGGCACTCTTAATGATGTGTTTTGATAAATGCAACATTTTTATAGAGCTGAATGGTTAGTGTTTGCTTTTTCCCATTTAAGAATATTTGCCTAATGATGTGAGGATCTTTCTTTTATGTCACCTTTTAGAGTTTATAATCTTCCTGGAACTTACTTTTTAGTATAGTTAGAAAGTATTACTTCAGTGTGGGCCTGTTGATGTCAAGTTCTCAGGGATTACTTTCTCTGAAAAATTTCTTATTTCAAACTCAAATTTAAAAAGGTTTTTTGGGGGTATAGAAATTTATGGCAAAGATACTATTTTAGTCCTTAAATGATGCCATTGCATTATCTTTGGATTCCATTACTTTGATTTTAAACTCATGTAAAATGTTATTATTGCTGTAAACTTAATGAGTGATTTTTTTACTACATAATTTTATATTTTTTCTTAATCTTTGTTTTCAACAATTTTACAGTGATTGGCCTGAGAGATGTTTGTTGTGCATTAATTTTGCTTAGTGTTATGACACCCTTGAATCATTTGATATTTGCTATCTAACAAGGTGCTTATTATATTGACCATTGGTTTAGCAAATTATCTCTTACAATATTTTACCCTATTACACATAGGATAGTTCCTATCTCATATGTCCTCAACACTCATCTGTATTTTTTGTTTTCTTCTGATTTAGCTTTCAGTTTATTGATCCCTTCTTCTGTGACTCTATGCTGTCAAATTTATTGAATTCTTATTTTTTTCAAGTTCGAGAATTGTCCTGACTTCAACAGCGTCCAGTTTTCTGATAAACTTCTTTGCCATTAAAATTCTTACACTTTGCATTCAGTTTTTTAAGCATATTAACTACCGATGTTGTGTCTACATTATCTGGGTCTCTGACGTGTTTCTATGCATTTTCTTTTTTATTCCTTTGGTTTTTGGTGATTTGTTCTTAGACTTTTGTAATCCTTGGTAATTTTTTATTGAATGCTAGACCCTGTGTTTGAAAAATTGTAGGGATAACTTGAAGCTCTGAATAGTTTTAGTCTTCTTTCATAGAGGATTTATTTTTGCTTCTGATACGCAGTAGGATAGAAAAGAAAACTGTAATCCAAGCAGGAATTATTTTGATTAAAAGTTGGACTTAGGTTTATATAAAAGCTGATTTGAGCTCATCTTTGCTCCCAGGGTATAACCCTTCAGGGACCCCACAGAAAACCTAAGGTATTTATCAGGCTACTTCTTCCAGGTTTTCCTTCCTTCCTCTCAGCCCTCAAAGGCATCCAGGGGCTCTGTTTTGGGTATAGGTGGAATGTCAGCTCCCCATTTTGCATCTCTTCAAGTTTGTGCTACATTCGTAGCTTTCTGGTGCTATAATTGTTTTTAATAATCTGTCCAGTGCTTCTAGTTCTTTGTAGGAGGGTTTCTCTGCATCATGACAGTCAACCTGGGTCATTAATAATTTTAATTTCTATTTCTTCTCAGTAAACTGGATCATCTTTTCATTATATTTTTGGGGGCCATTATTATTTTTTATGAACTATTCATCAAGTTTCTTGTACATATTTTTTTTCCCCCATTAACTTTATTGGTACATTTTAGGTATACAATACAGTTACATTCATCATTGGGATCTTGTACCATTACATGAGTCTCTTGGTTCTTATTTTTTTTTCCCCTTCTCTTGCCCTCCCTTCACCCCCTCCACCCTTCCCTATTTGCAAAGACCTTGTTCCATTTTTTCCTCTTCTTATATTTTTTCCTTTCCCTTTTTTCCCTTCCCCTACCCCTCCCAATTCCCCTGCTCTTTTAGACATTTTCTTCCTGTTACACAATATCAGTTATACATTTTTTAAATCACAATATCAAGATCTAGGAGACATTACCACAGATTTTACAAAATTTTAAAGGATATAGAAAGCATATTATTCTTGTACATATTTCTATTGAGTTGATCTCTATTTCTATTTTAGATATTCTATGTATATTAATGATAATATTTTTCTTCAATTTGTAACTTTTCTTTTTAAACATTTTCTACATTATTAGTATGCTTATTCCTATGTTGATGAAGTCAAATAATTCCCTTTTTTTCCTTATTCTGTGTTTTGAGTTAAATAACAAATTTTTCCTTTTCCCAAGTTTAGAAGAGTCCATCAATGTTTCTTTCTGTGTAGAGGAGTATGCTGATGGACAATTAGAAACTGATATATTTTCTGGAATTGGCAGAGTGAGAACATAGGTAATATAATGTTGACAGATCCAGCTGGAGGTTTCAAATTTGGTTTTCTTTTCCCAATCTCGCCCTCCGGAACTAATGGAAAGAATTCATGGACTCAGGACTTTCATGTTGGCTTTGAAGGGTGTTGGGAGTTATTTTTTACCATCTCATGTTTTCCTTTCCTGGGTATCTTACTACATATTAACATCTCCCAAACATCCACATGTCTGCTTCACAATTCCCTCCCTGACACTTTGCAGAAGCCCTTAAATGATCCCTTCTTTAGGCCTCAGATCTAAAATAACTTTCTTCATCTTTTCCCTTGTTTCTATTTTGTCAATTTCTGACCTCAATACTGTCTATGCCCTCAGGCACAGAGTGTGGCCACATCTGAGTCATACTTCCTGATTGTCAGCTTTAGGAAATGATTACAAAGAGTGCAAATTTTTACTTTTGAAGTTCTCTTTGAAAAGATTTATCAACTGAAGCTTTCCCATCCTTTCTTCATCTTTACCAACAGGCATACCTACTCTCTGCCCCAAAAGTACTCCACGTAATGAAAATGAATTGGTTTTCTAGCATTTTATCTGTATTTGTATTTATTTTTTTAAAATGCCCTTGCTCTCCTAGTTGGGAAAGCATAATTGATGTTTCAGGAGTAAAAGATTATTGGCCTTTGGAATATCTGGAAAATTTAACAATATGAGAAAACAATGCCTCCCTGCTACATGTATGCATATTTCAGGGCCAGGGATTTAGCTTAGTGGCACCTTGACTGCCTTGCAAGCTCAAGGTCCTGAGTTCAATCCCCAGTACCCACCCTAAAAAAAAAAATGATGGTGAGCATATTGCAGCTTTGATCACAGTAAATGGAGGACTCACCTTCTGAAGCTATACAGATAGAGGATGGTCACAGTGAAATTAGCTCAGGCTGAGTCATCAGCAGTCCAGAAGGCAGCATCTGGGAAGATCTCCCAGGTAGCTAACTCAGTCATTCATTTGTGTTTAAACAACAACCAAAAGCCTCTCTGTCTGCAGGAGAGATCTTTCAACTTTCAGACATGCCTACAGCAAAATAAGTTTTCCTTTTTTCTCTTCAAAGGTTAAATTCTCTGTCTGTCACACACTCACTTCCCTTAATTTAAATTGTACATTGTGTTGATTAAACCACATTCTCCTTCTTTTATGCTGTCAGATTTCTAATTTGAGAAACTATGTATGTATATATGTGATTATCTTACGAATTAAAGAGAACTTAGAAGACAGCTTTTAAGTATTCAAGCAACTCAACCTACTGTTTCCGCCTTTAACCTTCTCTGCAAAAGAAGTTGAATCCCAGGAATATTTTTAAATTTAAGAGGGCAACAGAGGGTGACAGAACAATTGGCAATAAGGCTGTTATAATTCTCTAATCAAGGCTGATCATCTTTCCTTCTTTCAGCTCAAGGGGAGGACACACCTACAGCTTCTGTGAAAAGCCAGAGCTCTAGTGACACTGAACCTGCTACAGGTCCTGATGGTAAGTTTCTGAGCTGTTTGAGCTCAAACTCTAAATCTGGCACATTTCCCATGTGCAATCCAGGATAAAGGGAGCATTCTAGTCTATGAATCAAAAGTCATATTCTGGTAAGAAATGACAAAAATAGCTTTTTTAAAAATATGGGGGTATTTTAAAATAACATGCCTTGCTTAGAACAAACTTTGTAATATTGAAGTCACAGTGGGTAATTCTAAGACTCAATTAAAGTTACCTAAATATTTGCTTTTAAATACTCTCAAAATTCCAATAAGCTTTCTTTATTCCTCCAAATGTGTATTTTCAAGTAACCTATCCTCAAGCTCGCTAATTCTATTTAATCTGTCCTACTGGATGCCTTCTATCATGTTTTTAATTTTGCTGAGTGTATTTTTCAGCTCAATAATTTGATACGTTTAATTCATTTCATCCCTAAGTTTATCGATTTTCCTCAAGCTCATTGGTTTACACAAAACAATTTTCAAATTCTGAGTTCTCTCCTGTCAATTAGTACCTAGTCAGTTTCTGGCATCGTAGAGTATTAGATGAGGCCATGATTTCCTGAAAGATTTCTTTTTTTTTCTTCCTTTTATTGGTACATTTTAGGTGTACAACATAATGACATTCAACATTGGAGATATGCACCTTTACATACTCTCTTGGTTCTAATTTTTCCCCCTTCCCCTGCCCTCCCTTCAACCCCTCCATCCCTCCCTATTTACAAAGACTGTTTCCATTTTTT